CGGTGGAGATTGGGATTGGGGTCGAGGAAGCAAAGCCTCGCTCAGTTCGCTCAGTTCGCAGAAAGACAGAGGGGATTTTTCCCCCGCATGGCTGCCAGAGTGCACCTGAGTTTCCTGAGAAGCACTTCCTGCTCCAGACCCACAAACATACGCGAAGCATGCAGAAAAAAACAAAACCCTCACTGCCGCTGAGTCGATTTCTACTCAGTGACAGGGTGGAACTCCCCGGTGGGCTCCTGAGACTCTACCTCTTAACAGTACTAGCAAGCTCATCTTTCTCCCACAGAGCAGGTGGGGGTTTCCAACCGCTGACCCTGGAGTTAGCAGCCCCACACATAACCCACAGTGCCACCAGGCCTCCTGGCAAGGAGACACCGTCTAACGGAGCCTGCATTGTGCAGTAGGGAAGCGCCCAGCCGCTAATCACATGGTCCGTGGAAAACGGTGGCAGCCAGTCGGCTTCCAGAAAGATGGCAGCCGTGGGAAGCTTATGAGGTTTGTTGGACGGCGTCAGTTTAGGTGGACTGGACTCAGCTGTAATGGGTTTGAGATTTGGTCTGGGGGGACAGAGAAGGTAGTGTGGGGCCTCGGAGCCAGGCAGATGGTGAGGGTGGGTTAGCACACAACCCAGTGCACGGTGACACCTAGGTGGAAGAGAGCCTGTATTGGGCAAGGGTGGCAGAGGATGTGGGGAGGAGCCTCACAGGCCACTGACTCAAACCTGCCACAATGGTAGCATCCCTGGGTCCAGATGGTGTGGACGTGGCTGGCTCATGGGTGGGCAATGGGGGATCCGCGAGGGAGAGCCATGTATGCTGGGCTAAGAGGGCTACGCAAGGGACAGCCCTGGGGGCACTGGAACCCGAGGGCTGCAAACTGAGCCAGGCAGGGCACCTGGAACAGCGGGCAGCAAATATTGATCTCGGCACGGGTCTGTGCCCAAGTTCTGGCCTGTTCGCCCCTCTCTCCATGGGCCCAGCACTGCAGTTCCCAGGACCACCTTCCATGTAACTGTGCCTGCCCTTTCCCACAGACCAGGAAAGGAGTCCCTCCTTGGTGTACACGGCTAGTGCTTGACGACTAACTGAAAGGATGGTGGATCGAGCCCACCCAGAGGTACTGCAGAAGAAAGGCCTGGCAATCTACTTCCAAACAGCCAGTCCCCGGAGACCCCATGGAACACAGTGGGGCTACCACAGACGGAATTGCTGTGATGGCAACCAGGCTATCAAGCGAGTGCCAAGGGCACCGAGGCTCAGAAAGTGTCGTCGATATGCTGGGAATGGCCCGCACCAGTAAGTGACTGAGCAGGAAACCTAGGCCCCAGGCGTGATCCCGCCAGAGCCCTGCTTGGTCCTTGGTGTCTGCCTCAGCTGTTAGGCGAGAGGCCCTGGGAGCACTGGACGCGGCACATGCCCAGTGGAGAAATAAAAGCGCCTCCTGGCCAAGGCCCTGGAGTCCTGACCCCCAGCCAGTCCTGGGCAGCCAGGAGCTGGACGCCTCGTCTGGGATGTGTGAGAGGCACTGCTCTGTGACCTCGAGTCCCCACCATTCCCTCTGATGAGGACGGGGGCACCAGCCCCCACTCCCCACAGGAACATGCCCCTCCCTCTACCACCCCTCCACCCCACCCCTACCCCATCCCCCCTCCGCGGTGACCCTGCCCTGGCCTCCTTGTCCCAGCATTTCCTTCTCTCCAGTGTATGTCACCTGCTGGAGACTCAGCCTAGTGTCTGACCTCTCCCCACTGTCATTGCACATCCTTTAGCCTCCATGGAACCCCATCCATGTTCCCTTGTAATGGCTTACACCCTGCCGTGCCCTTCCTCCGCACTCCTGGAATGACTTTGACCTCCCCACGTAGGGTCTCATGCCTGGCAGTTCTGTGACACTGCTCACCCTCGGATGTAATGTTGGTGTGAGGGGCTAAGGTGGGCTGTCTTATCCCTCCCTACGGCCATAGCCGGGATGCCTGGGAGGAGGCTTCCTGGGGGGCGGCCTGCACCACCTCCCCCCTTCCTGCTGGCTCAGAGCTTCCAGGCTCCTCTGGGAGGACTCCAAGTGGCTGCAAAGGGGCCAAGGAAGACCTCCCCCTGAAGGTGGGCACGAGCACCGGGGCTGCTCCCAGCAGGATGGCTGGGAGGTGACGCAGGTGGGGTTCTAAGGCAGCAGCCCCGGACAGTTTGGTGAGAAGCAGACAAACTCAGCAGTGGCATGTGCCAGGCAGGATGTCCTTTGCCCGGGAAGTGCCCTCAGCACACAGTGGCTATTGTTAGTCCCCTCCCAGACCTGGTTCAGCCCTGTTCTTGGATTTCCCACCCTGCCCCCCAACCGCCCCAGCAGCCTTGACAGACATCTGTGTTCCAGTCGCCTTGCTCAGCCTTCCCAGAAGTGACTAACCCTGCTGACACGTGCAGCGTGGCTCAGTTTTGTTTTCTGTTTAGCTAGTCACAGAAAGTGAGGTCCGGAAGCTAGCACAACAAGGCAGAGGCCCGGCAAGTGAGAAATCTTGGGGTTACATGCTGGCCTTGAGCCAAATGGGCAGCCCGCCAGGGGCCGGAGCACGGGTCTGAGGGCAACCTTGCCCCTCTGGGGGGTGGGATTCTGGCCTGTTGCTCTCCAGAGGCTTCACTTAGAAGCCTACTCCTAAAGACAGGGCCAGAGCCCGGCGGGTACCCCCACAGTGCAGCAAGGTGGCCCAGGTGGCCTGAAGGCAGCTGCCTGCTGGGAGTCTGGGGATGTGCTGGACAGGCCACCGGGGTCGGGACCCTTCACGCGCTGATGGCCACCCACGCCGGGTTAGGGGCATTTATACAGCTAGGAACCCAGGTCACAGCCCTGGTGCCACCAGCTCCCCCCTCAGCCTCTCACTCACCTCCAGCCTGGCTGTGGCGAATGGTGTGGCTCCCTCCATGAGCTGAGGCGTGATCCCGCTGACCGGGGTTCGGTAGTCTGAGATCTCGCCCTCGGGCCGGATGAACTTGTCGTAGAGCACGCCTCCGTGGGCATCCACGAGGCTGCATCGGGCCAGGCCACTCTCCTGGATGGGCTTCAGCCCCACCATCTCGCAGTCCATGGCCACCACCTCGAGACCTCGCGCCATGCTCTGCCCCCTGTGCCCTGCGGGGAGGGATGCAGGAGGGCCTCACTGTGGCTGAGCCAGCTTCCAGATGTCCTCCGCATGGCCCAGCCCCCTTTATCAGACACACCACCTGGCAGCTGGGGTGTGGCTGGCCTCCCCCAGCCCAGCCGTCACCCTCTGTCTTGGTTGGGGCTCTGTCCCGCAGCCCCAGGACCAGGCAGCCATCCTCCCTCCCCTCTCCCGCAATTACCTCCGCGGATGTACTCCAGAGCTGCTGCTGTCTGTCTGCTCGCTGTCCCCTCTCTTGTGCTACTCTTCAGCTACTGCAGTTGCTCTGACTCTCAACTGCACATCCTGAGAGTAGGTTTCAGTTTCTGGTTTGCTGTGAAGTGAAATCAGGGGCGGGAGGTTGGGCACCTGGTGAGCTAGGTGCAATGAGTCAGGCTGACAAAGCTGGCAGGCTGTGTTGGGGTGTCCCCCTTTTGCCCCTGCCTCCACCCAAACACTCAGAGCCTTCTCCCCTCCCTCCTCTTCTTCCCAGTCCCCTCCCTCCTCCGTGAGGGCTCTGACTAGACAAAATGGATTGCAACATCTTTCTTTCCTCACTCTCCGCCCATCGAATAAACATCCCCAGGGTTGGAGCTCAGGAATGTCCCCTAGGTTCCGGGGCTGCCACCAGTAGGACCCTGGCTGGGAGGGGGTGCGGGTGACATCCATGGGGACTCAGAAGCTAGGAACTGTTAAGGGCTGGAGAAGAGGGTGGGGCCCGCCTCCAGCTCAGCCCCAGGGGAGATATTTCGGGAAGCCCCCAGGCCTCTGTGAGTACAGAGGGGCTTCAGAACAGCAGCCTCTCTCTAAGTGCTCTCCCTCCAGCTGTGCTGACCCTGCGTCCACAGGCCACAGGCCGGCTATGAAGTGCAGACGCTTCCAAGCCAGAACCAGTGCTCTTAGAGCAGTGCCTGGCACAGTACGCACAGGGAGTTTACTGACGATGTGCTGAGTGACAACCAGGGCAGAAGGGGATCAGTTTCCGATGGGGAAAATGCCAGGCTGAACCAGCCTTTCCCAGAGCAGCCGCTGCATGCCAACATGTTTCATGGTGTCTGGAGATGGCTCTTCAGATCCCTGACAGGGTCTGGAGCAAACTGAAGTCCGCTGATCTAGAACCTTCCTGCCTACTGCCATTACTGGGGAGACCAGTGCTAGAAGTATATGCTGGTGCCAGCCAAGGGCACACTTGGTGAGACCCAATAGAAGACTGCTCAGCTTGCCCAAGTCCTATTTGAAATTAAAAGAACAAGGCTGGAGCCCACCTCGGTGGCTACGTGAAAGGCTCCCATACCTGCCTCCTCCCGGAGGGCTGGCAGGAACGCAGCCCTGACACCCCGGGGCCTGTGTTGTCAGGCTGGCTGTGGGGAAAGGAATGTGGTGTGGTCCCCAAGAGGGACATCTGACTTCAAGAGCAAAACCAAATCCTGAAGTGTCGAACAATTCCAGCGGAGGTACTGCTCCTGATGTGCCATGGGCTTAAGTTTGAGGTTCGAGAGATTTCTTTTGGGTGCCATCTGGAATGAGCAAATGTTGCTGGATATTCAGCCAGTTTGGAGACGATGTTCTGCTATTCCGATGTATTACAGTTTGCTACACTGTCTGGGGGCGGGATAACGTTCCTGTGAATGTATGTCAGCATGCTTTTTTTTCAAGCCCCTTTGTCAGTTTTACATGACAAACGTCATCAATGTCTCTGAATGGCAAATGTGGAAGTGGTTGTGATGGGGATACTTTCCCCACTGTCAGCAAATGATCCCCAAGCCAGAGCCCATGACAGTCTGCTTCTAGTGTAGGACCCTGGATGTCCTGTGGTGGCCCACAGACACCCACATAGCACACTAGTCCCTCACTCCATGCTCCCCCCTCACTCTCCTGCCTCCTCAAGCCTCAGACAGAAACAGCCCAACCTGAATGGTCCTGGGCCCGATCCTTGGAGCATGTTCCAAAAATCTGCTCACCTCCCGGCCCTCACCTCCCACAGGGCCCTACCTCTATCTTCATGCCTTGTTCTACGCTGTCCTCCCAGGCCTTCAAGAGAAAGGTCCCCTAAGTCTAACCTCCTCTACAGTCCCAGCAGAATTACACCTGGAAGCAGGCAATTTCCAGAGCCCACCTGCCCCATGTGAGGTTTTCACACAAGTCCAGGGCCCTTGCTTCTTCCTGTGCTGGCTTCTCCCAACCCACCTGCAGGTCCCTCCTGGCCTCCTTCAGACCTCGAGGTGGCAAGATGGTTAAGTCCAGGGTGTCGGCAGCCAGGGGGCAGGCAGTGGTGGGCCTCACCCTGCTGCTGCCTCACTCCTCATTCACCTTGTTCCAGCTTCTCCTTGGCTTTTTCCTGCCCGCTCCTCCAGCATGCCGGGCACCTGCTGTTCCCCGTCTGGAAGGTCCTTCTTGGTCTCCTCCTTCTCTCAGGTCTCACGAGATCTTCCCTGACTTATCGACACTTGTACTTCCTACCTCCTTCACCAATGTCTCTGACAATGCCCACCATCTGAACCCCTACTTTACTTGTGCCTTTACTGTCTCCCGGTGATTGGTGCACTGCAGGGGGGGGGAAACAGCCCGGGTTACGTGGGTCTTTCTGATGCACTGCCATGCTCAGATGATGGGTGTAGGGCCTGGGGACTCACAAGCTAGAAGAGGAACCTGAGTCCAGCTGGGGACAATTCTGGGCGTTTCCTGGGTGTGGTTCCTACAAGGTGTAACTGACTTCCTCCAACAGTCACAGATCCTGGGCCAGGTGACTTAAGGTGGCTCAGAGCAAACTACCAGCCTACTGACAAACACTCCCTCCTGCCGAGGCCTCCCTTCCTCCCTCCCATGGGCCCAGCAGGGACAAAGGCTGCCCATGTGGCCTTCTCTGAGTCCCCAGCACCCAGCACAGGGAGGACATGGGCCAAGTGAATGACTCCTAGCGGCAGTCTGAGGTACCACTCCCTTCACATGACCTGCCCGTTGGCTGAGCGTGCACCCCTAACGTGTGTATATAAAATGTGGATGATTAAACTCCTCCACCCACATATTCCTATGGAGGCATTGATGGCACAATAAACCTCTCACACACACATACCAGTTATAAGATGTGGGTTCTACTTAATACACGTAAAATCATTGAGTCACCTAGACCCCACTCTGACTGACTCATGGTGACCCTGGACAGAGTACAACTGCCCTAAGTTTCCGAGGCTGTAACTGACAGAAGCAGACTGACATCTTGCTCCCACAGTGGGGCCTTCGAACCATCTACCTTTCCATTAGCAGCCGGAGATTTAACCACTGCACACTATCAGGGCTCCTTTTGTTCATCAATCATTTTATTTGGGGCTCTTACAACATTCCATACATCAATTGTATCAAGCACATAAGTACATACATTGCCATCATTTTCTAAACATTTTCGACTCGAGCTCTTGGTACAGCTCCTTTTTTCCCACCCTTACCCTCATGACCCCTTAATAAAATTTTTTCCCTATCCCTTCACCCATGTATGTTGTTTGTCCCCCCTGGGGGTGAGGAGGTTACACATGGATCACTCTGATCGGTTCCCCCTTTCTCTCCCCACTTCCACCTTCCCTCTATCCTCATAGTATCGCTACTCCCATGACTGTTCCTGAGGGGTTTATCTGTCCTGGATTCTGTGTGTTGACAGCTGCTATCTTTATCAGTGTACATGCTCCGTCTAGCCGGATTTGTACGGTGGGACTGGGGTCATGATAGTGTGGGGTGGGGGTGGGGAGGCATTAAAGAACTACAGGAATGTTGTGTGTTCTGTAGGTGCTACAGCCCTGCCTGTCAGGGCTCCTCTGTTCATGGTGTCGACCGGATGCCAGCAAGTTGCTTTGACTCAGAGTAGAACTACAAGCTCCCTCAGGTCTCGGAGGCAATAAAGCTGTAAGAGTACAGATACCCTCATCTTTCTCTAGCAGAGGGGCTGGTGGGTTTGAACTGCTGAGCATGTCCTTAGCAGCCCAAAGCTGCCACCTCTCAAGCCCATGCTCAGTGCCCCAGGCTCCCCTTCTCCCACCAAGCCAGCCTCCCACCCTGCCATTTAGAGGGGTCACAGAAAAGACCACTTCACCCACCACCCAATTGAGTTTTATTCCACAGCAAAGAGTCTTACAACAAAGGTGACTTTCCGCCGAGTACAAGCCGCTTCCCCACCCGCTCCATCCACCTGTTATCAGCTCTTCAGCCATTCTCCAACGGACACTCAGCTAGACTTCAGGTGCTCCAGCAGCAGGCAACTCCCTGCTTGGTGCTGAAAGGGGTGGATGGGAGAGCCTGGCATATTGAGGGCAGAGCTGACTCTTTCTGAGAACAAGTGCCCTTCCAGGAATGCATTTGGCCCAGGCTCCCCATAGCTTTGCAGACACCAGCAAGGCCACTGTCATCTGTACACAGCATGGAGCACTGAAGGAAGGCAGCCATGGCTGCAGGCACACCTGCTGGTACGACTGAGGAGTACTTCAGTACTCCCGAGTCCTGCGGAGGAGAGCAGCAAGCACCCCTCCTGGCTGCCTCTCACCCGGCCCAGGTCCCTCTGCCTGACTTGGAAGAACAGCTCTCTGCGGGCCAAGGCTGTCCAGCTCCCAGCTCGAGGGGCAGTGTTTGGATTTCCAACCTCCTGAAGAAGTGGAAACCAGTCCTTAAAAACAAACATATTAAGGGCTCAAGTAGAAAGCAAATGTTTTGAGAATGATGATGGCAACAAACATACAAATGTGCTTGACACAATGGATGTATGTGTGGATTGTGATAAGAATTGTAGGAGCCCCCAATAAAACGATTTAAAGAAGAAAACCAAAACAAGTAGCCGCTCACTCTGACTGAGGCTTCCTGGGCCAGGAGCTGTGCTGAGCGCTCAGCAGACCCCCCAGCACTGAGGTTGGGCAGCCCCATTTCAGTGAGGATGCAGGCTCACAAGGGCGTCACACATTCGGGTAAAGTCTCAAGGCTAGTAAAGCAGTGAGCAAACTCAGGGATCGCAACAGGATCTGCGTGACCCCAGCTCATTGTTACTCTCACCCCAAACTGGCCCTCAGGAAACAAGGAGCATGGGGGGCAAAAAAGGGGAGGGTGATTCAGACAGAGTTCAGACAGAGAACATTTTCAGAAATTAGCAGAAAATCAAACAATCACAGCTGCTATTGGTCAAAGTGCTTCAGTGGCCATAGACTCCGTTCCCCAACAGCCTCACTCTTACCCAACACAAGTTCCCCCAGCACAATCTGCTGAATCCAGACCACAGTCCCATTTCTCTGGCCTCTGCTTATGAGAGCCTAGTGCTGGGGAACCAAGCCAAAGCAGGTAACTGGATAAGTCAATCCCAACCTGCCCACCCCACATAGGTCGAGTAGGTTTGCACTCTGTAGGGTTTGCAGTAGCCCATTCTTGGGAAGCAGATTGCCAGTCCTTTCTTCTGAGGGACTTCTAGGTGACATGCAGACTTCACACCTTGACATTAGTTACATTAGCAGCTAAGCACATTGACCATTTGTCCCAACCCGGAACTCCTAGTGTCCCCAGGCAGGGCAATTCCTGGCTGGGGTCACAGCCTTCAACCAAAGCATAGCCCAACTCCCGCTCCCCCTCCTCCAGGCTGCAGACTTCTGATGTCAACATGTGAGGGGGGACAACTCAAGGGTGGCTTGTGGGCAGATGGCAATCTACTGTGACCTAGCAGGGTCCTTCAAGTGACAAGGGCTCTCGGTACCCACAGTTCTAGTATAAAGACATGAGAGATCAGGCTTCTTTAGAGACCCTGACTCTCTAACTCTGTGGCATACTTACTCTGCACATCGCTACCCTGCTGGGTTCAGGGTGCACCAGACATCTGTGTGGTGTCTGTAAATGCCTGTCAGTAAAGCACAGGGCTGAGGAGAAAGGGCCAGCTGCACTCTGCCCTGCCCAGGATAGTCAGGCCCACCTTTGCCCTCCTGGCCCCTACTTCTCTTCCCCCGTGTACACATGGAAGGAAGCTGGGGTCTCCCCATCCTCTGCCTTCAATCCTGTGTCTGCCCCGCGCCCCCGCCGCTGCCCATGACCAGGTCCTCGGGCCAGTACTGGTCCTCCATGTACTGCTCCAAGTTCGAACTGCTGTCTGGCTCTCGGTCCTCAGGGTGGGCCTGGGGGCGGCTGGCCTCCTGCTGCTCCCACCGCTCCTCCACCAGCCGATAGAGCTCCATGGCTGTCAGGGCGTCTTCCACCGACGAGTGTCCGCAGTGGCCCACCTGTGGGCGAGGGCCAACGCTCACTAAGGGCATTCCCCAGAGAGTGGACCCCAAACACTGTCCCCCGAACGGAATGCAGAGTTTGGAGTCAGTCTGGAAGGAGCCTGAATCTCTGCCTAACCACAGGCCACCGAAGGTCTTTCAGCCTGCCTCAAGTGAACCACAGGGAAGAGATCCTTGACTGCAAACACTTGCTCCAAAGCCCACCGCAGTGTGAGTGTGATGTTAACCACATGGAGCAACCTGACAAGGCTCTGAGGCATGGTTCTTGGGTCAAACACTACTCTCGATGTGGCTATAAACGTATTTATACGTGATTAACATCTAACTCAGCTGGCCATAAGTCAAGGCCATCAGCCTCCAGGACTGTGAGGCTAAGTATAAAAACTGGAGCTTCCCAACCATGGACATTGACATCGTGCTGGAACGTCCACCCTGCTGTGTCACCTCACATTTTCATCACAAGACGGTTTCTAGAGCCTACTGCCTGATCAATGGATTCGTACTTACCAGCCCTGTAAATGCACTCTCGACACACCTGCCTAGCAGCACACACGACTGCACACTCGAGCGGCTATGGAGAACAGTATGGGAAGCACCGCAGAAGCAGGAGCTCCTAGCTCCCTGGCTGACAGGCAGATCTGGGAGGGTCACCTAGAAGACTGTAACTCAGTGGTTCTCAACCGGTGGGTCGCAACCCCTTTGGGGAGTCAAACGACCCTTTCACAGGGGTCACCCAATTCATAACAGTAGCAAAATGACATTGATGAAGTAGCAACAAAAATAATTTTATGGTTGGGGAGGTCACCACAACATGAGGAACTGTAAAAAAAAACAAAAACATGAGGAACTGTATTAAAGGTTCTCGCCATTAGGAAGGTTGAGAACCACTGCTGTAGTTTGATGTTGTGATACACACCAGGGAGGAGAGTGGCAGAGAGCCCCCAGGCCGTCTGCACCAGCGGGAGAGACCGGTGCTCCATGCCCCATGCCCCGCACCTGGAGTGGGGACTGAAGAATGGAAGGAGGTTGGAGGTCCAGCCACACAGCCTTGGCTATGGCTCCCGTGATCTGTGGCCCTGCCTACAGGCTGCCCTTCCCACCTGCCCACACCACACACCTGGATCTTCTTGTGCAGCAGCTGCAGGGCCAGATCCTTCAGGGAGACCCGAGCCCGAGAGGAGAGGCCAGGGGGGCTGAGGAGGCTGGGGACGTAAGTGGTATCCCGGGTGTGGCTCCGAGGGTGGATGTACTTGAGGGCCCGGAAGTCGTTGTGTAGTGCGTGGCCCACCACCACCTTGCCCTTCAGGAGCTTGAGGATCTGTGGGGGGAGAGTGGAGCCAGCAGGCCCCACTATCAGGGTGGGGAAGCCATCCTGAGCTCCCAGACCACTCAGTGCCTCGGTCTCTCTGGTGGGAGTCAGCCCCCAGCAGGGAGAGCAGACCAAGCCGTCCAGAGTCTGCACCCAGGTCCTTCTACATGCTAGCTGTACAGCCAGGGGCAGACACAGTTCTCAACACTTCGCTCTCTGCCCCTGTAAAGAGAAAACCCCTGGGGGTGAGGTAGGGATTAGGAGTCATGGACCCTTGGTATAGCCTCCTGCTGGACAGTCCTCACCCCACTCGCCTCCTGTCACACTGTGCTCTCAGCTAAATGTCACCTCCTCAGATGTCCTCTCTCTGACTCCCCTGCCCCTCCAAGTGAGAATGCCTGGTGTTCTAACTCAGTCTCCCACCCTCATCCTCTTCCCCGACTGCACCCAGCTGGGAGCTGGTGTACTCTCCACCCCCTACAAACATACTCTGTTGAGCATGGGGCCATCTTTGACTCAACTAGTGAGGATTCAATGGAAGCCCAGCACCCTGTGGGGGACCAGTCAACAAAGATCTGCTGGGTTAAGTCTGGAGACCCGTGCCTGGGTCTAAGGGACAAAGCACACATGGGCCTGAGCTTGGCTACTAAGCTGATGGTTAGTCATTGATTCCCACCCACCCTCCGTGAGAGTGTGGAGGACAGGCCTGAATTCCAGAAGACAATGACCTCTGAAGGCCACAGCTCTATTCTGCACACCAATAGGGAATACTACCAGTACTAACAATCCCATCTCCGGACACCTGCCCCCCAGCCTCCCTCTCTGCTACATACTCCCTCATCACACTCTCACCTGGCCTTTGGCTCAGTGAGGGCCTTCTGAACACACGTGCCCCTCTTTCCTGCTCTAGATAGACCCAACTTAGATTCGCGGGAGGCCACCCAGGCTGGTCAGCTAGCATGCCACTGGCCTCCCAACACCCTCTGCTGGAGACACTTGGTCTAGCGCAAACCCCAGGGCCACCAAGAGAGAGACACATTGAAGGCTTCAGGAGCTCTGCTCTTCAGAGCAAGTGGCCAGACAGAAGGGACAAGGGGCTACAAGATTTACCACTGACCTCCTTTCCTGTTGCTTCTATTCCTGAGTAGAAACCACCACCACACCGTTGGAAAGAAATGCTTGGGACGCAAAGGGAAGTAGGGCACCAGATAATACTAGTTCCCAAACTGGAGCCCTGGGCTGCTAACTGTAAGGTCAGCAGTTCAAAACCACCAGCCACTCCCAATACTCATGCTGGGGGGAAAAGATGAGGGTTTTTACTCCTGTAAAGCGTTCCAGTCTCAAAACACTTGTAGAGGACAACAAATAGACCTTGCACTATTTATAGGCTTTTCTTTTTTTGTCATTGTTATTGCTTTTGTTGTAGCTATTGTTTTATTTTCTATTGTTGCTTTGTTTTGCTTTGGTCTTGTGTTTGTGCATATTGTTGCCTCTGCATGTCTCTCTGGATGGGATAGGCCGGATAAAGAAGCTGGAAGAGAGAACAACGGGACAAGTTCTGGGGGGACATGAGAGAGGGGGCAGGGAGGTGGTTGAGAAGTGGTGGGAGGAGAGAGTTATTCAACACGGGAGGGGGGGGAGTGGGTGTTAACAAACCCAGGAACAAGGGAATAACAAGTGATCAAAAATTGGGTGTGGGAGGTCTGGTAGGGCTTGATCAAGGGTAATGTAACCGAGAGGAATTACTGAAACCCAAATGAAGGCCAAACATGATAGTGGGACAAGAGGAAAGTCAAGGGAAATAGAGGAAAGGACTAGGAGGCAAAGGGCATTTATAGAGGTCTAAATACAGGCATACCTAAGTAAATATATTTACATATGACGATGGGGAAATAGATCTATGTATATATATTTCTAGGTTTAATATTAAGGAAGCAGATGGACATTGGGCCTCCCTTCAAGTACTCCCTCAATACAAGAACACTTTGTTCTAATAATCCGGCACTCTTGAGATGCTCACCTTCCTGACACAATTGCTGAAGACAAAGAGGGTGCATAAGAAAATGTGGTGAAGAAAGCTGATTGTGTCCGGCTATCAAAAGATACAGCATCTGGGGTCTTAAAGGCTTAAAGATAAACAAGCATTCATCTAGCTAAGAAGCAACAAAGCCCACATGGAAGCACACCAGCCTATGTGATCATGAGATGTCAATGGGATCAGCTATCAGGCATCAAAGACTCAGAGCTAAAAATCAAAAGTTTATGAGGGTGGGGAGTGTGGAGTGGAGACCCAAAGGCAATCTGTAAGCAATTGGACATCCCCTTACAGAGGTCGACGGGAGAAGATGGGCCAGTCAGGGTGCAGTATAGCACCGAAGAAACATACAGCTTTCCTCTGGTTCTTTAATGCTTCCTCCCCCCACTACCATGACCCTCATCCTACCTTACAAATCTGGCTAGACCAGAGCATGTGCACGGGTACAGATAAGAGCGGGAAACACAGTAGCCATACCAGGAGGGGAAGGGGAAGGTGGGGGAGAAAGGGGGAACTGATCACAATGACCTATCTATAACCCCCTCCCAGGGGGATGGACAACAGACAAGGGAGTAAGGGGAGATATTGGACAGTGTAAGACATAAATTATCAAGGGTTCATGAGGGAGGGGGTAAAAATGAGGAGCTGATACCAAGGGCTCAAGTAGAAAATGCTTTGAACAGCGATGATGGCAACATACGTACAAATGTGCTTGACACAATGGATGGATGGATGGATGGATATTATAAGTTTACGAGCCCCCAATAAAATGATTTTAAAAAAAAAGAAAAGAATTCCCGTCTCAGAAACTCACATGGACAGTTATACCCTGTCCTATAGGGTTGCTATGAGTTGGCAGTGACTCATTAGCAGTGAGTTCAGACTTCCCAAACTGGAGCCCTGGTGGCATTGTCGGGTAAGCACTGAGCTGCTAACCACAAGGTCAGCAGTTCAAACTCACCAGCTACTCCTAGAGGGAAAGCTAAGGCTGTCTGCTCCGGTAAAGATTTACAGCCTCCCAAGCCCGATACAAGGTGCTATGGGGAACGGACTCGATGGCAGCCATTTGTTTCTGTGCTTTATTTCCCAAACCACCTCATAGCTCAGGACCTGGCTGAGAAAGTCAGTTCTGCTGGGGCACTTGCTTTGGACATGCACACTTGTCCTGATAGCCTGACTGGGCCTGAGGGCAGTTTAAGAACTGCGAATGTCACCTTTGCTTATGGACAAATTCATGCTTGAAAAACCCTGAGTGAGTGGGGAAAACCAGCTGACTGGGCCACGTGAGAACACCACAGGAGAACACACCTCACCACCTCAGCTCAGCAGGAATGTCAGGGTGGGAGCCAGGCAGAGCTGGTGCGGCAACTTACTGTCTGATTTCGAATAACCCTCTCCTCCCGCTTCTCAACCACCTCCAGCCTTTTAGTCAGCAGCCCGGCCCCAACCCAGAGACCTGTATTATAAGATGTAGACGGGGGTGGGGTGTTTGTTGATTCTACAAGGCAGGCACCTAAGGTTTGGATAAGGTCAGTAACTTTCCCCCAGGTCTCTCGGTCCCCATACCCCCCCTCTTCCCGCCACCCCTGGAGGGTAGTGGTGACTGATCCGGACCCAGGGCTCCCCTTCCAGCCCACAGACCAACCCAAGAAAACCAGCTGCCCAGGCAGCTCAGGGCACAGCCCTGCCAACCCTGTCCTCACCTCCTTCTGGGCCACCTGGAAGGGAATGGCCTTGTGCATGTGCTGCCTCGTGATGCCGCTCCAGCGGGTGCGGTAGTCCACCACGGGCATCTCCGGCCGGATATACTTGTCGTAGAGCACGTCGCCATGGTAACTCACCACGGAGCAGCGGGCCAGCTCGCTCACACGTCCATGGGGGCCCGTGCCCACCATCTCGCAGTCGACAGCCACTAACTTGCTGGGCAAGGGCCTGGCGATACTTCCAAGGGTTGGTTTCCTGCCATAGGGGGCTCGAGGACTCGGACCCCCACCACTGGAGCCTGGTGGGGCCTTGGGCATGGGTGGTGGGGAGGACCAGGGCTCAGGGGGCGTGCTGAGCAGCCCCTGGCCCTGCAACAAGGCCTTACGTGCCATGAAACGCTGGTGCTGCCGGCTCCTCCTCTTGTGCTTTCTCCCCAGCACATCCTTGGCATTCAGACCAGTGAGGGGCAGGGGCAAGCACTGGACAGGCTCAGGAGCTTCCTGGGACACCATCCCAGCCTGCTCCGGGGCTCTGGGCAAGGGAATCCTGAGGAGTGATCTTCCAATGGGGTAGCACTCTGGGGAGAGAACACAGGCAGTGTAAGGAAGTCGAGAGGTGCCAGAAACCAAATCAGTTGAATTAGAACAGGCTTTATTAGGGAGAAAAAACCCAGCCTGGGCGAAGTCTCACAGTCCACAATGTCCGGGCTGGGGGAGTCACACTGCATGTTACAGGGCTGCTGCTTATATGGACAGGTATGTCCGGGTTTCTGGAATGTAAAGTGTCTTCCTGGTTCCAGGTGTATTCGTGCCAGGTGCAGAGCGGTGGGCAAGAACAAAGCGGGCACTGAACCAAACGGGCCATGCCGGTTGCAGAGTGGAGGGTTGAGAGCAAAGTGGGCACTGAGCCAAACGGGCCATGCCAGTGCCAGGTGCAGAGCAGCAGGTCAAGAACAAAGCAGGCCATTAGCCAGCTCTGGTCAGCTCTGCAGGTGTGTGTGGGAGATTCAAGGCCACTTGGTGCTAGTTGTTTTAGCCAGCTCTGGTCAGCTCCGCATGGGTGGGGGAGACTCAAGGCCACTTGCTGCTAGAAGCCAGCCTGGTATTGATCAGGCCATACAGGTGGGGGCCAGGAGGAGAGTGCCGGCCAGCGGTTGCCCTCTTGCCTGCTGGGCGCTCACACTTTATCTCGTTGCCTACTTGATGAGGGTCAATTATTTTTAATAATAAT